CCAGATCTGCTTGATAAGCTCCGTGTTCTGAAGGACTACTTTGGTCCTTCCCATAACTGTGTGATCAACCTCTCCCCTACAAATTGGGGTGCGACATCTCCGACCATACAAGAGCTTAAATGGTGGAACACCAATGATGTAGTGATAACTGTTGACATAGGAGAACTCCGCAAGAGGTGGGTAGGAATCTCAACTCCCACCAAAATCAATAACACAGGCCCGCAACATTTACTTACGGGTCAGTATAGTCCATTCACTTTGGCCATCAGTCTGTGGATGAGATGCAGTGTTGAAATATAACCTAGTGCTCAGTTCCTTATGGAACTTCTGCCAACAACGGGAAGTGAACCAAACATCACGGTCGGAAACAATAGACACCGGAAACCCTATCATAAGCAACGATCTCCTAGACATACACATCAACCAAATTTTCGGCCGAAGAGCTCTCCTGGATGGCCATAAAGTAGGCACTCTTGGTCAATCGATCCAGGATGACCCATATAGCTGATGGGTTTTATACAAACAATCCTATGTGTGCATGCAACCCTAATTTGGATCTATGTTTTCACTATTAGATACATAACATTATGAACATATGAATAAAACCTTAATGTAGGTTGCTATTTTCAAAAATTCATATATAAGGTTAGATCACATACCTCTTTTTGTTATATAGCATCACAAACCTTTTCCGTCTTCAGAAACTTGGTGATAAAATCCATGGTGATCTTTTCCCATTTCCACATGGGAACCTCCAGAGGTTGCAACTTTCTATGTGGCCTCTGATGCTCGACCCTGGCCATCCTGCAGTTCAAGCACCTCTCGACATACCAGACTATCTCCCTCTTCATACACGGCTACTAGTAACACAATCTTAAATCATGATACATATTGTTGGCTCACGGGTGTATAAAGAAGCGAGACTTATTAGTGACGAACTTGTCAACCTCACCCCTGATCCTTTCCTGTTTCTAGTTCTCATTTTGAACTCTCTCTACCTGTTCCTCTCCGATTAATCCCAAAAGCAGAGAATCAATGGATATCCTCACACACACTTTCCCGACCGAAGACCCAGCCGACTTGCGGCTCAACGCATCCTCTACCCCATTCACTTTACCCGGATAGTAAAGGATCTTGCAGTCATAATCCTTGACCACGTCCATCCACACGTGCTGCCTCATGTTCGGGTTCAGCTGATCTAAAATATGTCTCAAACTCTTGCAATGCGTGCAGACAATACAACGAACCCCATAAAAATAATTTATCCAAATCTTTAAGGAAAAAACCATTGCCCCCAACTCTAGATCACGCGTGGGATATCGGATCTCATGCGACTTCAACTATAGTGAAGCATAATAGATCACTCGTCCTCTCTACATAAGGACCACCCCAAACTGGTGACGGATGCATCATAGAATACCAAAAAAAATCCTTGACTTCCTTCGGGAGGGTCAATACTAGGGCCTCACATAACTCTGACGAAAAGTCTCAAACGCTGACTGCTGCTCAAGGCCCCATCGGAATCCAATCCCTTCCTCGCCAGACGAGTGAGGGGCATCACAATCTTGGAGAAATCATGAATAAATCTCTGACAATACCCTGCCAAACCCAAGAAACTCTTGATCTTTAAGGAGATTTTTGGACCTCCCACTGCATCACAACCGTGATCTTGGCTGGATCAACCAAAATCCCATCCCGGTTAACAAGGTGCACAACGAACTGGACCTCTCGTAACCAAAACTCACACTTTGAGAACTTGGCATAAAGTCGTTCCCGCCTCAAAACCCCCAGAAGCTCGCGGAGGTGATCCTCATGTTGCTCTCTGGTCTTGGAAAGGGTAGAATGGTCTTTTACCCTTAGGGAGAGAGAATATGATTTGGACCTTGATTATGGGATTATTACCCATATTATTAATTAGGGTGGTTTTTGGATATGTTTAGTGTGAGGAGACCTTGTAGCAGCAATGCATGTGTGATTCGGTTATCTTCTGATTGAGGTGAGTCTCCTCATAGTATTTGCGGGTTAAAGGCACCAATGCCATCCCATTGGATTATGTATATAGTATGATAGTTGTCTTTGTGACTCTTGCATGTATTTTTTGTATGTTTGGGCGGGGCCCATTATACGCGTTGGGCGGGGCCTATCACATGTTATTAACGGATTTGTACTGGGCGGGGCCCACTTGAGGTCGGGATGTATGTATGGTATGTGGTATTTTCGGGAAAATCACTAAGCTTTGTACTTAGAGTTTATGGTTATGGTTTCAAGTACCTCTGGTTCAAAGGGAAAGGGCCCGGCATGATCACACAACATCCACCAGTGTCCCGTATTCTATGATTTTAAATTATATTCTGATAACTATTTTCTACATTATCAAACTTGATTGGTTTTGGAAATGAATTATTGATGGTTTTGGTTAACTTAAAAATAAAAAAATTTCTTAGTATTTTTGGGACGTTACAAATTGGTATCAGAGGTTTGGTTTGAGGGATTCAGGTATACTTTTGGGTGTGTTTGAGCTCAAAAGGTTTTTTTTTATAAAAGAAGAGGTGTGATGCATGTAATCGGATGAGCTCAAGTATGTATTTCCTAGAATACCGATACATGTTTATCCGTTTCGGTATGTGTATATGTGTATAGTATGCTAGAGTAGGGCTAAGAATCTACTCATAATTGTATGATGGAATGCTAGGAGAGATGTCTTTGTATGCGTACTTTTGTAAGCCTCTAGAACTGCGTGCTAGTATAGATTATAGATGATATGATAGATTGGCATGATTAGGCAGTGCACTAGTTAGAAACTCGATGCTTGAATGTTGGTTGCTTTTGAGCTTTTAGCAACCGCCGTTAATGCCAGTAACTATCAAGTTAATATGCTAGCTTACATGTTACCAAAATTAGATAATTTTAGCATGTTACATTTTGTAATAATAAAGTGAGGCTCGCTATGTACGTATAGTGTACTTTGATAAGTAAATTCCATAGAAAAAAAAATCATTTGCTAAATAACTTTTTTAGTTAATATTCCTTGCTTGAGACTTTTATTACAAATGGATCATTGTTGGATTACTTCTTTTAGAACTGATGTCCAGTTACTTGGGGAGGATGCAATCTTTGTCCAATTTTTTTTACACCATTCTTATTTTGATAAATAAGAAGCAAACAACTTCAATTTCCTTTATAAAGAAATGAGTAAGGTTTTGATGCTTAAAAATCAGGATTTTGGTGTTTTATTGCACCAACTTTTGGGTTGCTATAAAACATACATGCTTTGGTAATTTTTAATAACAGTCCATTCTATTAAGAAAAACACACTTTAAAAAAAAAATTATACCCTTCTTATTTTGATAAATCTTCTAAAACGATATAGTTATCCCTAAATTTGGCACGAAATAATTTCTCAAAAATTAGTTTATTCCTAAAATAGCAAACAATTTTAATTTCCTTTAGAAATGTAACTCCTTAATTTATAGTTAGATGTTTTATATCTATGCATTCTATTCATCAATTGCCTAATTTTAAACTAAATATTTCTAAACCATCAGTGGGACAAAACTAAACAATAATTTTATTATAGTGTTTGCCATGGATAGAACATGGAAAAAAAAAGAAAATGGACATTTTAATTTGACCAAGCGAAATGAGAATTTGTTAATTTTTAGTCTCACTCACGATGAAACACAGCTCATCCCATCTTCAATTTAACAACAATATCTTCTTCAAGTGGAAATGGGAATCCATCTCCTACCCTCTCACTCCAACAACCACTTCCCTACCCTTTCTCTCCCTCTCAGTCGCAACCTTCTACTCCTTTCTCATCTATGTCTCCCCAAAACCTGTCCTGATATTGATATTCACTATCTCATTCTCATCAATATCAACAAATAAAGGTAGCATCTAAGGACATTGGACACGAGAAGAGAGAATTACTAAATAGATCTTGCCGTATAAGAAAACTTATTGGCAAGCTCGTGGATAGAGGAAGATGCTAAATAACTTTTTTTAAATGAGGCTTTGAGTGTACTTATAGTGCACTTTGATAAATAAATTTCGTAGTGAGTTCATTTGACAAATAACATTTTTAATTAATATTATTTGCTTGAAACTTTTATTATATGTGTGGATTATTTCTTTTAGAAGAGATGCGGGGATTACTTGGGGAGGATGCAATCTTTAAGTAGATTTGGTGGGCACCACAAATCAGCTACATCTTTCTATTTAAGCTATGAAAGAAGATTGTCCAGCCTGGTGCAACATGCTGAAAGGGAGTTGAAATGCCATAAAAATGCACAGTTACTTACCAAGATGCCAACAAATGATATTTTAAATCTATAACTAATAACTGAATATTACATTGGATCGTAATTTCTTCGTAGTAGATAAAAGGTTGTATCTAAATTTTATTATATCTGAAATGAAATAGTTATTTTGGGTTAATCTAGCGTCTAATTTTTTCGATTTAAACAATCAACGAAAGAACTACAACAGACTGAAATAGTCTATGTTTTTTTAACAATCAATTCACATGTTTATACAAAGAATGATCTTTTATCTGCACCTATACTACCACTTATGTACTCCACAATAGAACTTGAGTCAACCAAACAATAAAATATGCTACTTAATTATCCCAGAAAGAGGTTTTGTTATGATTCCCTTTGCCTATGAATGTATGAAGGACTAAGTAGACAGACTGATAGTGAAACGGAAGCATATGCAAAGATGGGTTTCACTTGTTTTTTATTTTTCTTTTGTAATAAATATATAACCCTCATGGTACTTGCATTATGTATTGATAAATAAGTTTAATAGTAAAATCGTTTAGTAAATAACTTCTGATATTATAATATTCTTTGCTTGAAACTTTAATATTTGAGGGAATTACTTGGAGAGGATTCAATCCTAAAGTGGTTTTTGTGGGCACCACAAATCCACTCCATGTTTCTATTTAAATATGTAGGAGATGGAAGTAGAAAAACTCTAAAAGAAAACATATAAAGATGGAAAACTCAAGCTATAGCTCTAATCCACACGTCACATTGGAAGTCAGAGAAGAAAACCCATACATAAACCCATACCCATACCCATACCCATCCCATGTTTGTGCCCACGATTTTCTTTCCTTGAAGCTGAGTGATAGGGATGAGTATGGTATTTGGAAAACACAGATGCTATGTCTGTTAGAGAGTCATGATATGCTTGGTTTCATTGATGGAACACTCGTAAGCCCTTATGAAGCCAGTAGTAGTAGTAGTAGTGTTTTTGGGAAGGAGAAAGTGGTTGACTATCAGCCTCATCACAAGCTGTGGAGAAGATCTGATGCCCTTGTGAAGGGTTGGATTCTTGGTTCCCTCTCTAAAGAAACACTTGGGTATGTTCTGGAACATCTCACAGGAAAACTTCATCAAGAAGATTTCAGTGCAAAAGATGTTTGGGATGAACTGCAGACTATGTACCGTGTTGCTGTTCTTCCACAACTTCCTCCTTTTGGTGAAGGTAAAGTCTATCTCTTGTTTGCTAATGTATCGCTTTATTTTGGGTTCGTTAGATAAACTAAAACATACAACTACTTATACATTAAAATATGTATAACTTTTAGTATATAGTCACAAAAAAGTTGAGTTGACCAAGCACTTGTTCAAACAAGATACAAAGTACACAAAACGGATAAAAACAAGATTTTTTTTATCATCCTCCTTTCAAATCCGCATTGTTTAGATTAGACCAAATCACATCAGATGTTATTCTATATTGTAGTTTTTTACTTTCATAACTAATACAGATACACTACAAGATCAAGACAGAGCAAAGGATCTCGAGAGATTATACGGTTATACTCAAAAAGCTAATTGGAATGGGGTGGAAGAGATATTGAGGCAGGAAAGGGTTACAGTGATGGACAAAATCACGAATAATGGAAACACCACGCTCCATGTAGCAGTCGGCACTTCCAAGGACGGGAAATTCTTTGAGAAATTGTTGGAAAGAATACCGCAGAAGACACAGAAGAAAAGGGTATTTGGCTTAAAGGATCCTGTGGGATTTTAGTATTATATATATAACCAAGGATTACAATCTGAGATCCACAATAAACGGATCTTAAATACATACAGGATATGAAGATAAGTATGGATTAAAACTAATCTAATCATTCTGTTTACATTCCCCCTCAATCTTGACCGCAACAAGGTTGAGATTGCACTTCATCCGTTCTAGCATAGCACGTGTAATTGGTTTAGTAAAACCATCTGCTAATTGATCTCCGGATGCAATAAAACGGACATCCAATGCTCCCATTGCTACCTTTTCCCGTACAAAATGAAAATCAACTTCAATATGTTTGGTTCGTGCATGAAAAACTGGATTTGCAGTCAGGTAGGTAGCTCCTAAGTTGTCACACCACAACACCGGTGGCCTTGGTTGACGGACATTAAGTTCTTTTAAGATAGACTGAATCCATATCACTTCGGCTGTCCCATTTGCTACTGCCTTATAGTCAGCTTCAGTACTTGATCTTGACACAGTAGGTTGCTTGCGCGAACTCCATGAAATCAGGTTTGGACCCATAAAGATTGCATAACCTCCGGTGGACCTGCGATAGTCCAAGCAACCTGCCCAATCAGCATCTGTAAATACGCTTAGAAGTGTGGAGTTGGACTTCTTGATGCATAGTCTGGTGTTTATCGTGCCTTTGATATATCTAAGAATTCTTTTGACTGCCTCCCAATGTACATCAGTTGGTTTCGAGAGATATTGACAAACCTTATTCACTGCAAAAGAAATATCTGGTCTTGTTAGAGTAAGATATTGTAGACCTCCTACCATGCTACGATATTTGAATGCATCATCTTCATTGAGTAACGTTCCAGAATCTCTTGTGAGTTTATCAGTGACCGCCATAGGCGTTGAGACACTCTTGCAATTCTCCATATGAGACCTGTGTAACAAGTCAGATGCATACTTGTGCTGTAATAAGGTTATACCCCCTGAATTGGGAGTGACTTCAATGCCTAAGAAGTAGCTAAGCCGACCAAGATCTTTAATGGGAAATGAGGATGACAGAGTGCGAACAAGACCATCAATAAGTGTAGGAGAAGACCCGGCAATAACAATATCATCGACATACACCAACATGTAAATAGTGTGGCCACCGTGAGAGAAAACAAATAAGGAAGTGTCAGCTTTGGAGGAACGAAAACCAAGTTGATGTAATTTATCACTCAATCGAGAAAACCAAGCATGCGGGGACTGCTTCAAACCATAGATAGCTTTGCGTAACTTACATACATGATGTGGATGACGAACATCTTCAAACCCGGGAGGTTGTTTCATGTATACATCTTCGTTTAGAAAACAATGAAGGAAAGCATTGTTAACGTCAATTTGACGAAGAAGCCATCCTTTAGAAACAGCAAGAGATAAGACCAACCGGACTGTAGCGGGTTTGACAACCGGGCTAAACGTGTCATGGTAGTCAATGCCATATTGTTGAGTAAACCCCCGAGCAACCAACCGTGCTTTATGTTTGTCAAGTGAACCATCCGGATGTAGTTTCGTCTTAAAAATCCACTTGCAGCCAACTATATTAACACCTGGAGGTGGTGGTACCAAGTCCCAAGTGCGATTTTTATGAAGAGCATCAAACTCGGCATCCATAGCACAACGCCACTTAGGATCAGAAAGGGCAGCTTTGTGAGAAGTAGGAACAGCAAAGAAAGCCCGACGAGAAGGATTGTAGAGTATAGTACCATCCGTAAACTGTTTTGGTCGCACAGAACCTGTTTGGGTGCGAGTGACCCGCTGTGGGGGCGGTGAATGATGCAAGGGTACAGTGGAAACAGGAGATGGAGCAGGTGAAGCCGGAGCAGGAGCCGGAGATGTTGGTTCTGGTTTGTTGGGAATGACCGGTGGATCCGAGGCCACAGTGGGAACAGTAGGTGGCGTAACAGGAAGCGTTGATAATGGTGGAGATATCCTCGGAATGGCAGGTGAGCTGCTGGTGAAAGTCGAACCAGTTTGTACAGGAGCTGCAACTACATGAGACAAATTATCAAGTAAAAGTGACAGGTCATATCTATTCATGTGATCATTCACAGTACTAGGTTCAGATTGTGGATAAGAAGCACCACGAGCATTAGAGGAGGGTGAGGACGAAACATCTGATGCGGCAAATGGAAAACGAGACTCGTCAAACACTACGTCACGAGAGATATAAACACGACCTGTTTGTTTGTCAAGGCACTTGTACCCTTTATGCATAGAACTATACCCAAGAAAAACACATAAAGTGGAACGAAAGGCAAGTTTATGAGCATTATACTTGCGGAGACTCGGCCAACATGCACAACCAAAATTACGTAAGAAGGAATAATCAGGGACAACATTCAAAAGGCGTGTGATGGGGGTGGAATTTTTAATAATATGACTGGGCATACGATTTATTAAATAACATGCTGTCAAAAATGCTTCATCCCAAAAGCGAAGAGGTAGAGAAGAATGAGCTAACAGGGCCAGGCCAGTTTCAACTATATGACGATGTTTACGTTCAGCTATGCCATTTTGTTGAGACGTATGTGGACATGACACACGATGAGCAATACCACAAGTTTGAAAATATTTATGCAGTCTATGGTACTCACCTCCCCAATCGGATTGAACTGTACGAATTTTGGTGTTAAGGAGACGTTCAACATGAGTTTGGAAATTATAAAATACTTGTTCAACATCAGATTTGCTTTTAATAAGATAAATCCAAGTGTAACGACTGTAATCATCTAGAAAACTAACATAATATTTAAAACCACCACTTGACACTTGAGCCGGCCCCCAAACATCTGTGTGAATAAGCTCAAGTGGAGAGGTGGTGACATGAACAAAGTTTTTATACGACAACTGATGACTCTTAGCACGTTGACATGCATCACAAACTAAAGACTTATTAAAGGAAACACCTAAATTTTTGGACTTCAAAATAGACTTGACAACTTCTGAATGAGGATGACCGAGACGTTGGTGCCACTGTGAAAACGGAACTTTAGTGCTAGACCCGGCATAGTGTGAAGAGTGGCGAATTGGCACCGGGTAGAGACCTCTTTTGCTTTTACCGATTAGGAGGATTTTCTTCGTGATTATGTCCTTAACAAAGAAAACATTGGGAAAGAGTTCAATAAACACATTATTATCATTGACAAGTTTATCGGCTGAAAGCAAATTTTTGTTAATATGTGGGACACGAAGGACGTTTTTAAGAACGAGAGGTCGACCTAGACTGTGAATTTTAGAGTGACCAACATGAGAGATATGCAAACCTGTGCCATTGGAGACTTGAACTTGGTCTTTACCATGATATCTTTCGGGTATGGATAGCCGGTCTAGGTCACTTGTAAGATGATCGGTGGCACTTGTGTCAAGGTACCAATTTGGGTCATTGTTGTAGTTGCCATTGTATCCATTGTAGCGGCCATATGTTGCACTATTACCACTTCTGTAGTCCTCATTCTGGTATGCATGATTGAATCGATTACGAAAGTTCAGGGCAATGTGTCCGGGTATGCCACACACTTGACATCTTGGACCCCCACCGTATCTGCCTCGGCCACGCCCCCTACCACGATTTCCAGTGTTTCGATAATTTGACCGAGAATTGCTATTGTTTGAGTTGTTATAGGTACTGCTATTTTGACTTTTGCGATTGTTGGAAGTTTCCTGTTTAGTGGCAGTATTGGCAGAGGACACAAAATCGGAAGGACCATTCATAGCAATGCTTTGAGCTTCATGTGCAACAAGATACGAATAGAACTCAGATAACTTTACCTCCTGCTGATTGCTAAGAACGGTTATGGCGGTGAACAAATCGCCATGTCCAGGTCCTAACCCGGCTAGGATATAACCAATCACTTCTTCATCTGTCATTGGGTGCCCAATATTGGCCATAGTATTGGCCAAAGCAGTCATCTTTTGATAATATTCAGAGGCAGACAAGTCGCCCTTTTTTGTGTTTGACAATTGAGTTCTAATTTGAATAGAATTACCTCTGTGTTGAGCAGAAAACATAGTTTGCAAGGCGGTCCACAACTGATTTGAGGTATCTGCACATCTGGTTAGTTGTGAAAGAACATCTTCGGTCATTGAAGATAACAAGCCCCCAAGGATGGCTTGATCTTGAGTAATCCACACTTCATATGCGGGATTGTCTTCCTGTTTGGCAGCATCACCTATGCCAACGGTGATTTTGGTTGGAGGCGCAGCAGTGGACCCATCGAGATAGCCAAACAGTTTTACTCCACGCAGAATTGGAACAACCTGCGCCTTCCAGAGAAGAAAGTTCGTGCGACTGAGTTTGCACGTTACAGTAGTAGCTATCTTGGACGAATTGATAAACGTAGTTTCAGTAGCCATTGAAAGACAACCTGATTAGAGGAGGTGATCAAGGGTTAGGTCGATGAGGGGAAGAAAATTGGAGCCCTAAGGTCGTGGCTCTGATACCAAGAAGAAAAGGGTATTTGGCTTAAAGGATCCTGTGGGATTTAGTATTATATATATAACCAAGGATTACAATCTGAGATCCACAATAAACGGATCTTAAATACATACAGGATATGAAGATAAGTATGGATTAAAACTAATCTAATCATTCTGTTTACAGACACATCTATTGGATGTGACAAATTCAGATGGAAGCACGCTGCTTCATGTCGCTGCCATTATTGGCAACACTAAAGCTGCTGACATCTTGGTGAGAATAAACCCAGATTTGTTGTTGGCCAAGGATAAGGAGGGTCAGAACACCACTGGCCTTGGCTCTTTCTAATATGCATACAGAGACAGCTCGACATCTGTTGCAACACGTCAATACAGATATACAGAAGAATGCTCTGTTTTCTGACACAACTAGTGATGAGCTTCTAGTTAGTGTTATTTCCTTAAAGATTTTTGTAAGTGTCCACTGATCTCAGTAAAAAAACTATCCACCCACTTAATAACTACGACTGAGTTTGGAATATATATGTAGGCTTTGCAAGAGAACTGTTGACGTATTACACAACATTGCACTCTGATACTGTGCTGATGGCTATAGCTCAAAACTTCCCAAAACTAAACAAATTTCAAAAATATATTTAATTTTCATTCTGCATATATGTTCCTATACACTGTCAAACTATCTATAACGCTTCTCTACCAAACTTCCTACACACCCCTTTTTATATTGAAGGGTCCTATGATCTACATGAGAAGGTATACAAATTCTGCAAAACTTTTAATGGCGGAAGTACATCATGGGTTTCCAGGTTCATAATCACCGGATGCGGTAGGTCATGAGTTTATCTTTTCTTAAACTCTTAATTTTTGGGGAAAGGCACAGGCACTGCATATACCATTTAACGTTCCATCAACTTACCACTATTACCACAATAATTTTTGTATCCGTGTTTTCACAACAGGTACAGTTTCAAATATATATATATATATATATATATATATATATATATATATATATATATAGGGTAAAGTGAATATACCTAACAACCTTATATAATTTTAGGTACCTAACCACATTATACAATATTGTTTTACATTATATTTCCATTGCAATCGTCTAAGGTTCTTAAACTTCAACCCTTAACTTGATTTACTTCCAAGATTTTCAAACATTCACCATTATATTCCTCCTACACCATTTGATTTGTAAAGACATCATATGAAGCCCACCAGGGGGTCTTCGATAGAAAGAAGTCACTTGAAAGAAGCAGAGCCGGTCCAAACGTATATGGGGCCCAGGGCGAATAGAAAAAAAAGGTCTCTTAAAGACAAATATAATAAAGATTAAAAAAAAATCATTTATTCTGCACTATAAACACGTTCAATTATCAATAACAAGTAATCCAAATTGTTTATCTTTTGAGCTAGTTTGAGTTTGAACCAACTTTAGACCCTAAAAATCATTTAGGTAATAATTTTTTTATATATATAAATCACATAACCCATAAATTTTGGGCCCCTCGGACACATGGGCCCTGGGTGGTCGCCCGGGTTGCCCACCGTCTGGACCGATCCTGGAAAGAAGATAATGGTAAAAGTTCAAAGATTTTGGAAGCAATCAAGTTATGAGGTTGAATTTTAAGAACTTTGGGTGATTACAATGCAGATATGATACAAAATTACGTAGTATGATGTGGTTAGGTACCTAAGCTTATATAAGGTTGTTAGGTATATTCACTTTACCCATATATATATATATATATATATATATATATATATATATATATATATATATATATATATATATATATATATATATATATATATATATATATATATATATATATATAACACTTGTGGAAACCACGGTTACAAAATTAATTAAACTTTTATAGTGAAAACTCAATTATTAATCATATATTTTAAATAAGTTATTAATTAAAAGATATTTTTTAGTTATATAAAATTATAATTGTTAATTTAAATAAGACAAAACTGTAAAATTGGTCCTTGCGGTTTGTTAAAAACTTTGGATGGGATCCAAAAAGTTTTTGACTTGCATGGAAGGTCCAAAATAAAGGTTTTTCTAGGTTTTTAGTCCCTGGTGCACTTAAAAAGATGATTTTACCCTTTTCATTTCTTTTTTCTATTTTCTATATTTTATTTGGTATTTAAATAATTAAAAATAAAAAATAAAAACTAAAATCTCACCCAACCCCCTTATCTCTCTCTCTCTCTCTCTCTCTCTCTCTACCCACCGTCTTCCCCACCCTTGTTCCTTTCTCATCTAATGGGAAAACCTTTCAGCCCTTCTCTCTTTCTTTTCTCCATTACATACTACCCTAAATTAGTCATCGAAGGTTTCTTTCCGGTGATAATCTCCAATAGCGAAATCCCCAAACTGTAACACATTCTTTCCGACCATAGACATTTCAAAGCTGGAAAGACGAGGTAAGAAGTCGCTTTGAATCAGAAAGTTAGATGATTTTATCACCACAATAAGAAGACCATGAGTGTGAATCGATGCTACTGCTTTCGTTGCTCCGAGCGCTATTACCTATCTGATTTCCCAATTTAACGGCATAAATTGAACGCCTTCGCTTCTTGCGAAATTGAAATTAGTTAAAGGAAAAAAATTAGAAACCCTAGTTTTCAATTATGGGATTGCTTACCATGTAGGAACTCCTCCAAGCTGCCTAAACATAAGTATTCATGAATAACAAACACTTCGCCGCCGTACCAAAAACCAAATCAGAGCAGCAACAACCACCGGTTGCCACGAAGGCCGCCAAAAAAATTAACCCAATGCTAGAATTTGCTGCCATGGGTGATGTTTTTATAGATCTTTCTAATTGTGATAATGGACCCAGAGTAGGATGATAACTTAGTAAAGTGTGCCTAAGGATCCACCACCGAGTCTATTATTGGGGAGTTGAATGAGATCACAGAGGTTGGATGTTGTGATAGTTTCATGATCTCCGAAGATGATTCTGGTGGGAAGCCTGGTTTTGACTTGTAAGGAGATTAGGGTTTGGTTTGTGAATTGGGTGGTGGTGGGTTTGGTAAGTTTGGTTGAGATGATCGTCTGGAAGAAGATGGAGAGAGAGAAAGAGAGAGAGAGAGAGAGAGAGAGAGAGAGAGAGAGAGAGAGAGTGAGTGGGGTGGACCCGTCCTATTATTTTTCTTTTTGTTTTTTGCTTTTTTTTTTAATTATAAAACAATTAAAACAAATAAAGAAAATGTAAAAAATAATTAATAAGGGTAAAATTGTCTTTTCATATTTTAAAGGACCAAAACCAAACAAAATTCCTGATTTTGGACCTTCCATGCAAGTCAAAAAAAATTTGGACCCCATCCAAAGTTTTTTGCAAACCACAAGGAACAATTTTACAGTTTTGTCTTTAAATAAATATATAAATTATATCATCTTATAATTTGTATTAATTTTATTGTAATGTTATTAATTTAATATAATTAGAGTGGTAAATTTAAAATTAAGAATTAATATGTTAATAAATGATATTCATTAATTAGAAAAACTAATAGGGTGATACATATCAAAAGTAGAATATAATATGTATTTATTAAAAGACTTAATAAGATGACACATGTCAAAACGAGATTAAAACTATTCTTTTATTAGAATAGGAATATATATATATATATATATATATATATATATATATATATATATATATATATATATATATATATATATATAATGTCCCGTTTTCAGAGAAATATATGTATATATTTGCGTATTAAGAAAGTTAAAGAAGTCTAGAGCTTGTATAGAGTTATTTGCACGATACAGGACATAGACAACCACAGAGAACATTTAAGAAATGTTTGTCATGGAAAAATGTTAGGAATTAATAAAAAAGAGTTGAAATTATGCAAGCAAGCACAAAAGTAGCTTACTAGATGCTTACTTCATATATATCAAAGGGCTACTAGTCAGCGCTACCAGAAGTTGCCCTCCGTTCTTGAGGGTTCAAGTCCCATCCCGAACATAGGTGATATTAAGGGTAGTTTAGTAGGAGGATGTAATATTTCCCATTCACAAAAAATGCTTACTTCATGCTTACTATTGGTGTATATTATATATGTATAGTAGCCTTTGTATGTATTTAGCACATTAGTTTCGCAACCCATGTAGCCCTTTTATATTGTATTCAATCAATCTTCAATGCAATAATCTCATAATGGGAAAATATCTCATCCAATATGGTATCAAACTAATTCGTATCCAACGCTACCCTCTTCCTCTTGATCCTCTTGATGTCGATCCTCTTCTATTATTGGTTGGACGTTGTTTCTTCTTCTTTTTCCTTCTATTTTTCTTTCTGATCTACGATCACTATGATTGGTTCAGGCAAAGCTTCTTCATCAACAAACCAACAGACCAGAAACCATGCATGCTGGTTAACATAAAATCTCATGTGTCGATTGTTCTTGACTACAGTGAAATGAACTACGATGCCTAGAGAAAACACTTTGAAACCCATTGTTTGAGTTATCGTGTCCTTGGTTTTCTCACAGGAACATCGAAACCCAAATCTAAAGACAATGAGGAGTGGTATAAGGTTGATTTAATTGTCAAAACATGGATCTACGACACTCTCACACAACTACTTCTCACATCCATTTTCAAGAAAACTCCACTACTCACTCCGTTTGGCAAAGTCTTGAAGTCTTCCGTAAAAACAAAGATACTCGAGCTATTGATGTAACACCTCGATTTCTAACACCTCGGTTTCTCGATAGGTGATTATTCTTTCTTTTATTTTAAACGTGTATTTGATTAGTATTAATACCAATAAAAATATTAATAAAGTGATAAGTTACCTTTTTAAAAGAATAAATATAGAAGAATATGCATTTTGTTGTGGAAATGGCCAAATAACAAGACTTTCATTGTAAAGGAATGGGAGGGAAGGGTTAGTTTTGCCATTATGGAAAAGATAGTGTTAAGGGCCAATGGATCTAGAGGGTCCGATCCATCCCCTTTGGAAGCCCCATTCTTCCAATTGGACCTATTCATAACAATTAAAATGCAAACACTGGGACCATTGTAAAAAAATAATAATAACATGAATGTGTGTGTTGGTGTGTGGCCGAAGAAAGGAAAAGAGACAGAAAGAGGAGGTGGCGGCCATTGGTGGTGGGAGGAAGAAGAAGGGTGGTTCTAAAGAGCTTGTGGAGGAAAAGGAAGAGAACTTGAAGGGAAGGAACTTCATTAAGTAAAAGGTAATACTAAGTTTTCACATTTCCTCGTTTTTTATGATTTTCGAAAACCTCCATCACTACCACCACTATTGGTGGTGGTAG